CTCTCACACATTCATATTTCTCTCCCTCTCTTTCTCTCTCCATTCCCCTCTATCCAAATATAAATAGTCTTTAAAAATAAATAAAAATAACAAAATAAAAATAAAACTACCATATGATTTACCAATCCTAGTCATGGGTAATATATCTGAAGGAAGTGAAATCAGTAAACTAGTAGCCTGAAGAGATGTCTCTGCACTTCCAAGTTCATTGCAGTACTATTCACTACAGCCAAGATACCACATGATCTCACCTTTAACAGGAAGCTAAACAACAAAACGAACAAGCAAGCAGAATAAAAACAAAGACACTGAACTAGAGAACGAGTGGGCAGTGACCAGAGGGGAGAGGGAAGGGAATTTAAGGGGAGAAAGGGGAGGGATTTTGAGGAACAAGTATGAAAGACACAGAGATGACTGGGGGGGGTGGGGAGCACGGGGCGGGGGGGGGGGGCTGGGATGGGAGAAATAGACAAAAAACTGTACTTGAAAAATAACTAAATAAAATTTAAAAAAAAAGGAAACAACCTAAGTGTCCATCAACAGGTGAACAGATAAAGAAACTGAGGTGTACTTATGACCCAGTGGTTTTACTTTGGGGTGTTTATCCAAAAAAACCCAAAACACTAATTGGAAAGAATATATGCACCCCTATGTTCATTGCGGCACTACTTACAATAGCCAAGCTATGAAAGCAATGGAATATTACTTGGCCACCAAAAAGAATGAAATCCTACCATTTACTACAACATGAATAGACCTAGAGGGAAATATACTAAGTGAAATAAGTCTGTCAGAGAAAGACAAATACCATATGATTTCACTCATATATGGAATCTAAAGAACAAAATAAATGAACAAATAAAACAGAAATAGACTCATAGACACAGAGAACAGATTGAGGAGGTTAGGGGGCCAGGTGAAAAAGGTGAAGGGATTAAGACCTCCAAATTGGTAGTAGCAAATAGTCCTGGGGATGGAAAGTACAGCAAGGGGAATATAGTTAATAATATTATAACAACTATGTTCAGGTGGTACTAGAAATATCAGGGGGAATCACTTTATAAAGTATGTGATTGTCCAACCACTATGCTGCACGCCTGAACCCAATACAAAATAATACTGACTGTAAAGTATAACTGAACAATAAAATTTAAATAAAACTATATTTGTGGTAGGCTACTGCTAAAAAAATAATGAAAATATGAAATATATATATATATATATACACAATAAAAATATACTAAATTTTTTGGACTGTAAGATGTACCAGACCATAAGATATACCTAGGTTATAGAGGAGAAAAATAGGAAAAATATTTTTGAAGCAAAAAATGTGGTAAAATATTAAATAACATAAATAACATAGGCCACTATCCCCCACTCCACAGCAAGCCGGGTGAGCTACATTCAAACTATAAGACACACCCCCTTTTCCTCCCAAATTTGGGGGGGAAAATGCGTCTTACAATCTGAAAAATACAGTATTATGCACTCATTATAAGAAAAAAGTCTTGTCATTTGCAACACCATGGATGAAGCAGGAGAGTAGTGTGCTCTACTACTTATTTTTAAGTAAAATATGCCAGAGAAAGTCAAGTACTGTACGATCTCACTTATCTGCAGAATCTTAAAAAGGAACTGAACTCATAGAAACTGAGAATAGAATGGCAGCATTGGGGGATGGGAGAAACAGGGATGTATTAGTCGAAGGGCAGAAACTTTTAGTGATAGAATGAATTCTGAGGGTCCAATGCGCAGCACAAGTACAGTGACTGTAACTAATAATTCTGTATGTGTACTTGAACTTTGCTTCAAGTAAACAAATGATAAGCGTTCTCACACACCCCTCAAAAATAAATAAAACAAGGTAACTATGAGGTGATGGATGTGTTAACTTGGTTATGGTAATCAGCTCACCATGTAAGTGCATATCAAATTATCATGTATACTTTATGTATATACAATTTTGTCAATTGTACCTCAATTATTTAAAAAATAATTAGATAAAATTAGCTTGCATAACACTATATTTTATATATGCTTATGTATAAAAACATAAAATATATACAAATTAAAAATATGTACAGGTAAAATTTAAGTATGCTCTTTGGCGTTAATTCAATATTTGTGGCATCATCTAAAACACCAAATTTTTTTACTTTCTTTTCTTTCTGTGTAGTCACATGATCCTACAGAGCACGGTTTGTTTTACATTTGTATTGGTAAAATAAAACAATGAAATACCATTTGCTAAGTGGAGATAACATTTTGAGCTTTTATACTTTTTTCCAAAAGTAACTTATTACCTAAATAACTACAGTTCCAAATGGCTTTCTGCTTAAAACATTTAAACCCCAAGGACAAAATTAGGCCTAGTAGAGATAAACATATCCATCAATTTTTCTCTGGCATTCTCCATAAACACATCATACACTCCGTCTAGTGATCTGGCATTTCGAGCAAACACAGATCACAATCTTACCTCTAAACGGTGGAGTCATATCTCTGAATATATTAATAAGTGAGTTATATGAAACAATTTTCAACACTAATATAAAATCACCTATGGAATTCTCAATTATTTTTATTAAAAGTAGCAGTATGATTTAAACATATATTCTATTTTACAAATCAAAAATTTATAAGGGAGAGTCAAGCACTGGTTTAAACCCCACCCTTACAATAAAAAAGCCCCTAAATATTAGAGATGATAACTCTTTCCTTTGGATGACTCGCTCTGTGGCCCTAATAATTCAAAATTATTTGCAGACTTTTAAGTTAGCTAACATTTACTTTGAAACTTCAAAAACAATTCAAAAAGGCATTCTATGCTGCCCCAAAGAGGCATTTTTTAACCTCCATTAACCAACATAAAATAATACAAGCTATGAATTCTTTAAAGTACTGGCCTGCCCTGGCCAGTGTGGCTCAGTGGATTGAGCACCAGCCTGGGAATCCAAAGGTCACTGGTTCAGTTCTCAATCACTGGGTTGCAGGCCAGGTCCCCAGTGTGGGGCATGTAAGAGGAAATCTCACATAGTGATATTCCTGCCCTCTGTCTCCCTTCCTTCCCCTCTCTATAACCTTCTCTATAAAAACAAATAAATAAATCTTTAATAATAATAAAAGTACTCTCCTATCGAGTCCTGAGATCATTTCTAGTGCTAGTCTGACAATTAGGAGACAAGTTTACAAAGACAATTTTATGTTCAAATCTCAGACATCAAAAAAGCACTAAAAGCTCTTACTGAAGCAAAGAGCTCTGCAGAGGATCAAAAACAATCTGGGCCAATTTGGAGTAACAAGTCAGCCAGCCAAATGCAGCCAGTGCAGAGAAAGAGTGGCTAACTGCCCAGATGTGTTTCACTACTTGAATACTTATAAATGTGCACTCTTGGTATAACTTCTGTCACTCGATGCAAGACTTAAAAACCCAATGCAGATACGATAATGAAAATGTGAGGCATCAAAAGCCCACTGGGTATTATCTCTAGGGGGAGGCAGGGCCTTATAAATATAAATACAGAAGCCAATGTAAATATCTGTGATCATTTTGTTAACCATATATAATAGACATTTTCCTTTAGTAATTTCATTGACACTAATGATATCCATATATATTTTTTTGACACAAAGGTTTCTATATTTGTACAATTGCTAGTATATTTTTAACTCCTCAAATATATTTGGGAATCATTCCAGACCACAAGACTCTGAGGAATTGCAGAATTTATCAGACTGACATGTCAACACGTATGAATATAGAATTCTACAATTTTGTTTCTATTCAGCAAGCGTATCATAAACAAAATTTCCTGGTTTATATGTCAGATAGATGAAGGCAATTAAATAAGTGTAACTGTAAAAAAATAAATAAACTCAGAAACTTTAACTCTACAACTCTGTTAAGAGAAATTATTTTTTTAAAGCTTAACTCACTCAAGATTCTGAGTTTAAAAATTCTAATCCCACATACTCCACACTCTCTCCACAGAGTTCAATGTTGAGTCATGAGCACACCATAGATGAAGTGTATGTCAAATACTACCTTGCAAATTAAAAGAAAGAATCAAAACAAAAAAGCCTATTCCATTTAGCTAAGATGGAACAATGTTTCCATTCTGCTTATTGTTGTTATTACTTCTTATTTTCATTTTTAAAATTCTAATAAGAGGTCAAAAGACAAACTTATCTTAAAATGATATAAGCAAACTTCTAACCAATCATAACTAGAGCATAAAAACAAAGACAGTATATATAATATAGAGAAAAGCCCAAATTTGAGTCCTGTTGTTTCACTTATTAGCTAAGTCATCTTGAGCAACTTCAGTATTTTAAACTAGTTTCCTCATTTCTTACATGGGAAAAACCATAACAATATCTACTTCACAGACTTGTTGGAGAGTAAGGAATAAAATGTATCTGAATGCAGTTTTGTAAAACTTGAAAGAAATACATGCATTTGTTGGATTCTTGACAATGTTTGAGACACAAGCTGTTCAACATATAATATAATGAAGCTGCTTCTTTATACCTGTTAATTAAAATACTCTTAATTAAATAAACATTCATCTAAATAAACTGTAAAACTACAGACATTCTCCTTTTCACCATTTGGAGGTAGCAATAATTAATATATTTTATAACCAAGAGTAATGACATAATTATTCTTAAAATACATTTTCTCATACTTTTTTAAATCTTGCATTTAGTATGCATTTTGTTTAATTAACAAAACATATACAGGCTTTCAATTAAACCTTATGAAGAGAACTTAGTAGAAGGTAAGATATTTATTAACTGTCTACCTCAACCAAATCTTTTTTCTCATTTGATGCAAACACAACAACAGTGTAATATATTCTTTCTCAGGGATGTATAATAAATTACCATTTTGCTTTCTCTACACTCATTACATAAATGAAGCATTTGATAGAACCAAATATAGTTACAATATCAAGCATAACAATCAAAGGTAAAATACTTGCAACAAGCCATACCTAGTAATAAGGACCGCATTATCATGGTGGGCAATCCCATTTTCTTGAATGATGTTTCCATCACTTTGCTGGGAGAGAATGGATTTCTGCCATTTACAGAAGCTATCGAGGGACTTGTCTGCATGGTGGTTTATCTCCAAGTTTGGCTGCAATACAACATGCATACCAGAAATGTTCCAAACAAATTACTAAGGTCAGTTGTTAAAACTTTTGAAGACTAAAGTGTCACTATAATTAGAAGCAGTGGTTTCTAGGAATAATCTCTTGCCAATTTTTACCTCTGTGATATCTGACCTAGAGCTAATTTAGTATATTATTGAACAAATATTCTTTCCAGCTCCAGCTTTAATAGTCATGTGAATATATGTGATTATCAGCATACAAAACCAACCACTATTAGAAAGTCTGTCATGGAAATGCTCACTTTTATACTGAAATATACAGCTGACATACATATATAACTTGAATGTGCCACAAGAGGTATACTCTCATAAACTATTTCAAATTTGCTTAAATTATTAAATGCTTACTGCTGAAAAATATATTCAAACCAGAACTTCCTAAGAGGAGTAATAATAAACTATATCCTTACATAATGCATAATTCTATAGCCCGTCTCTTAAGATTTTAGATATATGAAGTAACTCATCCTTACCTGATCATCTGTAAGAACAATTAAGCGGGCCACTATAATATTCACAACGTTTCCTAGGCTGGAATCACGGTAAAGTTTGGCAACCTGACCTCCAGAAAATAAGAAAAGACACAAAGTCAGACAAAAATCATAAAGTGATTGATTTTTTTATAGGTGGTTAAGTACTTTTTCATGAATTTAATCACTGTATATATAAAAATATGGTTTTCATCCCATGTCACTTAGAACAATGCCCTCAACATGCCTCAGTAAAAGGTTTTTTATACAAATCTACCTCAAGAAACAGTTTCTCCTAGGATGAACTATGACATAGTAATTAAGAGGTTGAATTGGTGTTTTAAGTGAAAAGAAAACTACTTAAACAAGATTTCACATGACCAATTCAAAAAGTCCTATTATCTGAAAATAAACTATAAAATCACCTTTAAATTTATCTTCTCTGGAACTGAAACATTAGTAGATCAAGTCTTCCTCATTTTAGATGAGGAAATTCTTAAAATCATTATTTCACAGTAAACATCCACGACCTTCATCAAAAAACACAACAAACTATTGTTAAAAATATTATAGAGAGGGATCAAACTTACAATATTCATCACACTCAGAATGTAATGCTCAATGTCTTTGCGGCCGTGATAGCCCACCATCATTTTATCGGCCACCACCAATGTCTCCACAAAGCGCTCGGAGCTCACGGACCTCCTCTGCCTGTGCGGGCCTCCGACCGGCGGTGCAGAGGGAAAAGCAGACGTGTCATTCAGCCACCAGGGTTTGTTGCTACTGCCGAGGTCTGCAGGGAGAACAATGAACTGGTTAGGATAGCTTCATGAAGTACACTGATTTATTTACAGGTCTTTCACTGAGACGTGCTTCTCATATATTCTCTAACATATTAAGAGTTTTCTGGGGACTTCTGCCAAGATGGAGGGGTAGGTGGAAACACTGTACCTTCTTGCACAACCAAGTTTAAAAACAACAAAGCTTTAGCAACAAAAATGCAGTCAAAACACAGAAAATTGAACTATACAGAAGTCCGACAACAACGAACCATTCAGCCAGACCAATAAACCAGAGAAGTAGCGAGCACTGAGACAGCACAGGCCCCAGTGGTGGGAAGCAGCAGAGGGGACCACTATTGCCCCTCTCCGACCCCACCCCCACATACAGCATCACAACCCAGCGACCTGGGCAGCCCTACCCTGCTGAACGCCTAAAGCTCCGCTCCTCATACCTAACAGGTGCAAACAGAGCAAAACATTATGGCTCAAAAAGAACTCAAAGCCCCAGAGCCCATAACTCTAAGCAACCAAGAAATAGCCAAACTTTCACATGCACAGTACAAAACACTGGTGATCAGGATGCTCACAGAACTGGTTGATTTTAGTCACAAATTAGAGGAACATATGAAAGCTAAACTAATTGAAATGAAGGGAAATACACAGGAAACCAATAGTGATGGAAAGGAAACTGGGACTCAAATCAATGGAGTGGACCAGAAAGCAGAAAAAAAAATGACCAAACAGGAAAATATGAAGAAACAAGATTCAAAAAAATGAGGAGAGGCTTAGGAACCTCCAGGAAATCTTTAAACACTCCAACATCCAAATTATAGGGGTACCAGAAGGGGAAGAGGAACAGCCATCAGTGGAAAACTTATTTGAACAAATAATAAAAGAGAACTTCCCCATTCTGGCAAAGGCAATAGACTTCCAGGAAATCCAGGAAGCTCAGAGAGTACCAAAGAAGTTGGAACCAAGAAGGAACACACCAAGGCACATCAGAATTACATTAGCCAAGATTAAAATGAAGGAGAGAATCCTAGAAGCTGCAAGAGATAAGGGGACAGTCACCTACAAAGGAGTTCCCATCAGACTGTCAGCTGATTTCTCAAAAGAGACCTTACAGGCAAGAAGGGGCTGGAAAGAAGTCATGAAAGGCAAGGACCTACAACCAAGATTGCTCTATCCAGCAAAACTTTCATTTAGAATGGAAGGATAGATAAAGTGCTTCTCAGATAAGATCAAGTTCAAGGAGTTCATCATCACCAAGCCCTTATTATATGAAATGTTAAAGGGACTTATCTAAGAAAAAGAAGATAAAAAAGATGAACAGTGAAAGGACAGCAAACTCATAGTTATTAACAACCACACCCAAAACAAAAGCAAACTAAGAGGACAGCTAGATCAGGAGCAGAACCATAGAAATGAAGATCACACGGAAGGTTAGTAACAGGGTGGGAGGAGGAGAAGGGGGGAGAAGCTACAGAAAATAAGTAGCATAGACGGTAGGTAGAAATAGATGGGGGGAGGGCAAGAATAGTAGGGGAAATACAGAATCTAAAGAACTTGAGACATGTGGTCATGAACTAAAGGGGAGGAATAGTGGGGGAGGGGTGTGCAGGGTAGAGTGGAATGAAGGGGGGAAACAGAACAACTGTAATGGCATAATCAATAAATTTTTTTTTAAAAAGAGAGTTTTCTAACCAACTGTTAATATGGAAGGAAACGAGGAAATACAATAGTGAAAAAATTCAAATCCTTAATATTTTTCAAAAGAATTACATTATCTGAAAAAATTAAACATTCAACTGCTCATGAAAACATAATAACTTGAATGAATTGTTTAATAAAAAAGATTTTCAAATAATGATTCCATATTATTTCAGTAATTTATAATACTTTTTAATTTAGAATAGGTGTTTTAAAAATAATTTAAATTTGTTTAAAAAGCAATAAGAGCATTAACTTTCTAAACAGCTTATGACAGTTCTGAAGAACATTAATGTTGTAAAAATCTAATTCTAAGATGAGCATTTATTTTTAAAGTAAAATACTTTTTAAAAAATATTTATTGTTAGAGAGTGGGGAGCAAAGGAGAAAGAGAGGGAGAGAAACATTGACCAGTTGCCTCTTGCAGGTGCCCTGACCAGGGACCAGACCCACAACTTTTCACTTTGCAGGATGACACCCAAACAACTAAGCACTGGTCACTCCTCATTAAACTATCTTATTCAGAGCAATTCTACTGCTGTAGAGATCTCAATTCTAAAAAGCTGTGAATTACGTTTTTCACTTAATTCTGTTGTCTACAGCTATTTATACTGACTACCCAAAGTATTCCTTTTCCAAATCCTAGAGGTAAAGGGCATTAGAATGATTTCAGCATGATTCAGTTTAAACTGCATTTCAATGTGCATTGTAGTTTATTCTTGGCTTTCTAGACATTTGGTTCTTCAGTATGCAGGAAGCCGTTCAGTGCTGTGGCACTTGGGAATACTTGTCTCATTTATATTTCTCTCCACTTACCAAACGCGAGCAGATACAGAGCCTCTGCATACCTCACTTATGTTTCCCTTCCATTGAACAGAACATCTTTCGAGCCTCCACTTATTGAAAAATTTAGGGAGGAAATACTAAATTAATTTACATACTTGACAGAAAGTGGCACTTTCTCTATTTTTCTAACTTCTGTAGCCTGTCCTTTTAAAGAATTACTTTGGGAGAAGTAATAAATGTAAAAAAATAAGATGAGCCCTGGCTGGTGTAGCTCAGTGGATTGAGCACGGCCTGCAAACAAAAAGGATCACAGTTCGATTCCCAGTCAGGGCACATGCTGGGGTTACAGGCCGGTTCCCAGCAGGGGATGCACGAGAGGCAACCAAACATTGATATTTCTCTCCCTTGCTCCTTCCCTTCCCCTCTAAAGATAAATAAACAAAATCTTAAAAAACACATAAGAGGAGTAATGACCACGAGAAGTACCAGTGACATACTTTTGAAACTCACGTAAGTTAGTGTCTTGTTCCTACATGTTAAGAGAAGCAGAGGCATGCACTGCTTGTTTCAGTGGTAGTGTATCCCAGAGACAGCCTGTGGTACTGTCCTACGCCCAACTGTGACAGACAAACTTTTACGGTGGCCCCAGGACCTTTGCTTCGTAATGTGCACACCTCTGTGTGATCTCCTTCCCCCTTTGGTATGGGTGGGACCTGGGACTTGCTTGTAACCAATAAAATACAGCAAACATGATCAGATGTACATGGTTTCATGTATATGAGTACTGCACATAATTACGTTACATGACATTGTAGCATTTCTCTTACTAGAGTCTTTCCCTTGCTGGCTTAGAGGAAGCAATCAACCATGTTGGTGAATCATACATGTCCATAAGGAATGGACAGTGGCCTCTGGCAGACCACCAGTCAAAAAGTGAAACCTTTCAGTCCTACAACAGCAAGGAAATGAACCCTGCCGAGAACAAGGGAAGAGAGATCTTCCCCAGTCAAGATTCCAGACAAGAACGCAGCCCTGGTTGAAGCTAAGTAATAACCGGTCCATGCACAGGCTCCTGGACCAGAGAAACTATGATGTAATAGAGGTATCCTGCTTAAGCCATGGAATTAGTAGTAATGTTGTTATGAAACAGCCAAAATCCTTTCTGCATTATAGAACTCGAATTTCTCCTGCTCACTGTTCTGTGATCCCAAACCACTATATATTCAAATGATGCTTAGTCTTCCATTCTGCTGACTGGACAGCTTAAATATCTAAATATAAGATTTACTTCCCTTTAATTTGATAATTTTCATTTCTCTGATTCATTCGATTTCTCCTTATTCAATATTTTTACTTAAAGTGTTGTGAAAAGGACACACATCACTGGGCCAAATGAGCACTTAGCAAAGGTGCTTCTCACTTGACAGCATTCAGTATAAAGTAACTGTTGTTATCAGTATCACCATTTTCATAATTTTAAACTTTTTAGCTTTTTAGTTGTTAGTTTGCTTAGCTATCACTGCATCAGACATACGTATATATAATGTCTTTTTAACGGGTATTCATAAATTAAAACAATTTTTGTACTTAGAAAATTTATAGTCTGATATACATATAATTAAACACACAAAAATACAGTATATGCATAAAATTGAAAGAGATAACATCTTTAGTTTTATTTTTAAAATTAAAGTCATCAGCATTATTAGATCATTGCAAAACACTATCTACATTTTATAATTGTCAATTAACTGCTTAATGTTAAGCTTAGTAGTATCTGTAACTAATACATTTTTAGTCTTAAAAATACACTATTAGCCCTGGCTGGTGTGGCTCCACAGATTGAGCTCTGGCCTGCAAACCAAAAGATCACAGGTTCGATTCCCAGTCAGGGCACATGCCTGGGTTGTGGCCCAAGTTTCCCAGTTGTGGGCATGCAGGAGGCAACCAATAGATCCATCTCATGCGAGCTGCTGTTTCTCTCCCTCTCTTGCTCTCTCCCTCCCCCTCTCTCTAAAAAGTAAATAAAAAATTTTTTTAAATACACAATTAACTTGTTTTGCTTTAAATTAAAGATTAGTAGTTCTTCAATTGATATTAATCACATATACTTTGCTCAGTTTAATTCTGGATACGGTTTAGAATGTTAAATAAAATATTCCTTCATAAACATGTATAAGAAAACTTTTCCTCAAAACCAAATTCATGGATTTCTTTTCTACTCCAAATAGGATTTTTTTTAGTATTTAATCAATTTAAATATATTTTTAAATATAAACAGACATTGAAGATCATCTCACTAACCTCCTTTTTTTCAATATATTTTTTTATTGTTGTTCAGTTACAGTTGTCCCCATTCTCCCTGCTCCTGCCACTGCTCTCCCCGGGGGCCTGGTCCAACCCCCGTCCCAAAGACGATCCCCACCCACTGTCCTTGTCCAGGGTCCTTCGTACATGTTTCCCTTCTTTCTCCATGATGCTCTTCCCCCTGCCCCTCTGGTCACTCTGTTTGTTC